GTTTAATGTTTATCAGTACATTTCAGAAAATAATGAACTTTATCACAATATGCTAATTTTTTGAGAAGGACCTGTATATGTAAAACCCAACGAGTTAGAATTTTTTGTATAGGCTAATGTTGATTAGCTGTGACAGCCAACTTGAACTGGGTTGACTGAAAACATAAAGTCTAGAAAGTCAGTAATTACTTTCTGAAAGTTTCATTAATATTCATCCAGTGAATTCAAAGATATTTTGGTAACTGACAAGATTAACCTAAGACTTTAAGTAAAGATATTATGCAATGTGTTGTACTATGTGCTGGGGATGATGCTATACTACCACTAAATTTTAGYTCAGTATTTATAAAACTGGCTAAAGTTTAGCTGTTTTACGATTTCCTACGGGGAGTTGGCTGTGGGGTGCATCTTGAATTGACTTGGCTCCAAATGTCATTCAGTTGTAGATGAGTGATTACTCCCTGAAAGTTTCATAAAAATCTGTTAAATGGTTCATGAAATATTTAGCTAACAATTAGATTTAAAACCAAATACTAAGGTAAAATTTTAAACAGAGACCTTGCATGGCTGCTGTTCACTCAGATTTTTAAGATGTGGGATAACCATTTATGCCACACTGACACTGGAAAGCTAAAAACTGTAGTGTACTGCACATGTAATGGAAAAGCTTCCCAACAATTAGCCATGGAACRACCCCCTCCAAACACAGAGGAAGTTTTCTTATGAACTTCGCTGCTGAATAAAGTTGATTGACTGGGTTCACCGTTCAGGGTYATGCTGGAGTGAATAGAATAAATGTGAGCACATTTTTGCTGTGCGGACACTGGACTGTCATTTTGTCAGCAGTATAATCAGTCCATCAGTATAAGGCGTTGTCGGTCCATCGGCGCAAATGCCAYGCTGAAGCCTGTCTCATTGTCTTCAYGAGCTCAYCCCATCCMAAGAAACAAGGACCACAGTCTTGTTAATATTAAGGGTTAGAAGGAGGTCGCATCACTGAACAGAGCGTTGGATTTTTGTTTTTTATACCATTGCACCCTGCGGGGATCACGCTCCACATCACAAATTCCTTATGACTACAGTCACTCCTCATGCCAATGAGCTGACACCGCRCAGATCAAATCAATGCTTTTTTGAGATGACAATAAAAGGAGCTTGTTGATTAGACATGCATTCTGTTGAGGCAGTGGGGCTGAAAGACGTGATCACGGTGCCAACCACAGTCAGTCTTGGACTAAAGGGAGTCTTTTGTACCTCTTTCATGATCCTRTGTGGCCTGCAATGGCTTTAGGTTTTATTAGGTTTTATTTAGCCAGTGGAGCTACTTGAAGATGCTAGCAAAAAGTGGAACAGACAGAAGGTAAAAGAGTCTGCTTTGTGTGTTTATTTCCAGCTGCGGAATGACAAAAGTCAGATGACTTTTTTTTTCAGTGTCTGTGCATCTATCTGTTAGCAAAATATTTTATGAACCACTAGCTGGATTTTAATKAAACTCTYAGAAAGTAAATAGGCTACTGGGTGTACATTTTTAACTGATTCACTTTTGAAGTCAACCCAATTCCAAACGTTCGCCAGTTTACTGACATTAGCAAGCATGTAAAAGACTACAACTTACTGWATTTATTCAAGTATAATACGTAAAATTTAATTCATAAAATCATCCATAAAGTTGGGGTGTTAGTATTATACTCAGATAAATATTTTTACCTACATATTTTAACTGAAATATCGGCTTCATTCGCAAAATGCCTGAGTCCGGAAATGAGACCGTGTTGTGAAAAGCAGTTGAAACGAGCTTACCTCTGACACTCCTCCGTGCTTCAGAGCGAGATAGTAACAGATCCAGGCAGGCGACATGATGTGAAAAAAACTAATAACATTAGCATGTGACCGGGCCGCTCCTTGAACAACAACAAACACATGTTCATCTGTAATGGCTGCCGTCTACCGGTGTTCTGAAAAGTTTGTATCCCTGAAAAAAGTTTCCCCACCAGAGGGGGCGCTCGCGAGTAGGAAGTAATCTGCTTTTSCCCCASAAGATGGTCCAAATCTCATGTGAAGTCTCTGACTTTTGTGTTGGYGCMTCCTGGTGGACTATGTGTAAAATGCCAGAATTCATATGATGCTGCTACAGCTGATATATATTTGTTGTCAAAATACCTTTTAGAACATATGTTGTTAAAATAAAATGAACAGTCCAATGATCATTTTACTGATATGTATAAAGACAGCAAAGACTGAGAAATCTTGAAGTCTGAATGAAATTGGAGGTAGTTTGAGGATTAAATTTTTTATGCTTTTTAAGCTCAAAAGGCTGGGGGGGTCGTATTATACATGAGATCGTGTTAGACATGAATAAATGCAGTACTAAATCTTACAAATATTAGCCTAAAGTTTGGCATGGCAATAGCTTAGATTGATCCCTAGCGCACGCTCTGAGCACGTGTCATTGCACAACATCTTTATTTATAACTTTAAGCATTAAACGTTGGAGTCAAATCTGTTTGTCTGTTAAGGCAAAAACAAATCTCATGAACCAATAAATGAATTTGAATGAATCGTTATTCCCAGCTCATACTTTTAGAGCTTACATAATGTTAATATTAAGGTTTGACCAAAAGGACTGTGCCATTTCCTCCCAAAGTAGATCATCTTGATTTAAAATTCGGGCATGAATCTTGGTGGACAATATGCATTCCTGTAATGAATTCTAGGTTTTCATTGCATAAATTTTAATTATCTTATATTCAACCTAATCAGTACAATGTGGCCATAAGAGATTTGTTTTTGGTCAAGCTCATGCCGTTATAACATATTGTGTGGGTTAATGCACCAGTAATAAATTGCACATTGTCTTCATGCTTTAAAAGCTGGGAAAGTCGACCACAGACCGATAAAGTCACTTGATAAGCAAAACTGGACACAAATATTGATGGTGCTGTAAAACTTCTATTGAGAATGATGCTTTAACAGCTTAACCCAACTCTCTGAGGGGGAAAAGTGTTGTTTGTGAGATGATTCATCTAAGAAAAAGACGTAAGAAGCCAGAACTCCAATGCTAATACATCCTTCAGATAACAAACAACTATATATCATGATGAATGCGAGTTAACTGCGATTCTAAGCAGAATGACTTACAGCCTGTGAGATTTATTATGATATGTTTTTCCTTCGCTTTAACCCACTTATGTGCCTTTTATTTTGAATGTAATCTGTTTAGTGAAAAACAAGCACTATCAGTGCTTACAAATCTGTGGCGCTGCCAGATGTCCATATCCATTAATGTTGTGGAGTTAGGCGACACAGGCCTAAAGGCTAAACACAGTCAGGACTGAAGGTGGAAAAGGAAC